GTACCTGGGCCCGCCTACTATCCTCGGAAAAGTAAAATGATTGGCTAGAATCCAAAGTGTATGACATCTCAGGGGGAAAAAAAACAACTGTGTGCAGCCTTTTGGTCTGGTTACTACCGTTTACGTCAGAACCGGGGCCATAATGGCACCGGATATCGGTACCCATCCCTAGTCCTGATGACAGCCAGTTTATGCTACAGTGGATGATGAGAGTCAAACCTTAAATATTGATCCATATGAGTTAATGTGATCCGTGAAATGTGGTATGTCCTGAGATTTGATTTTCAACCAGGTAGCCATTCCCCGACTCTCTTTGCATGGTACTCATGGCCATTGATCAGTGGGCTTTGGTCAGTAGCTGTTGATCAATGGTCATGAGAATTTGCATAATTAAGATTAAGGAACTGACCTCACAGCCCATTGTTCCTTCAGTGGGCTGGTTTCAGTCATTATGCAAATGTACTGTTTATAAGAAGGGGAAACCTGCAGTCAGCTGAGACTGAAGAGTCACTTGGATGAGTCACGAAAAATTTCTCCCACAAAAATGTTACGTCCAGATGAACAGAATCAGCTTTTGAAGATTTACTTACCTGGATGATTGAGCATGCATCAAGACGTTATTGCTATAATAGTATATATAAAAATATATAATATACATATTACTTTTTTTTAACAACTACTATGTTATCAATTATCAATCTAACTCTAATGTAAATAAAAATAGAATTCAATTGAAAATGACTCATTTTGAATTTGCAACAAACCTCAAAAGAGTTGGGACAAGGTGTTTACTCCTGTGTAGCTTTTTGGGATCACCTTCATTTATTGCTCTTGCTTTGAATGATAAATCTTAATAACCAGAATTTGTTGATGGTGCATAACACTGTGTTCACAGACAGTGGTTTCTGAAGCAACTGCGGTGATTTTCATGACAGAATCATATCTGTTATTAATACATTACTGTCTGGAGTCTTCAAGATTGTAGCCAATCAATATTGATTTTCGGCCTTCTCAATTGCACAAAGAGCTTTCTCCAGATTCCCATTTTGGTGTATATTAGATTCATTGTGATTTTATGCTGAGGAACATTATTCTGAAATTTTGTATTTTTATACTCCATCATATTACTGACCACTTGTCAATAACAATTGCATCGGCCTAATTAGTTCCTACAGTTGATTTTTTTTAGTACCACTTACTCCAGCCTTTGTTACCCCAATCCCAACTTTTGTGAGACACTCAAAACGAGCTAATAATTTTTGGAAATAGGAAAATCTCTTGGTTCAAACACCTGATATTTATTTGGTATTCTATTTGAATAAAATAACAGTTTATAAGTTTTGCAAATCAGTGAATTGTGCTTTTTATTTACATTTTACATAGCATCTCCACATTTTTGGAACTGGGTTTGTAAATCTAAATAAAAAGGTCCTCATACTGTTTACAATCACAAATTTATATCTTGATAGGTTCCAGTGGAGCATTGAATATACTCCAAAACAGTAATACTCTAAACTTACTCTTCATTGCTTCCTGTTCACAAAATCTTGGCACAGTGTATAGCTCTACCTGTTTTATTTGGCAGAGCATTTACTTTTGACACAGTCCCTAAGGAATTTGTGTCCCAGATTGAAATCAAACTTACCATATTCTTGTTCTTATACTACTACATTTTAACAAAGTCATATATCTAGAACTTATAAATCTGTCTTAATCAAAGGAGCTTGTAAAGAAAAGCATCTGGACTTCTTTAAGTTTCCTTAAAGATGTTTCAATTCTAATCCGAGAAGCTTCTTCAACTCTAAGAGCAATTGGTGAACAGTCCCTGATTTTTAAGCCTTATTGGGAGTGGACCTAAGGGGGCCGTGGACCCCCTAATGTTCCTCTGCATTATCACATGAGCCACGGTTAGAAAACAGGTGTGGGTCACAATCAGCACAGGTTTCGGGTGAATCCATTATGAGACCTAGCCTCACCCTATCATGTGACTTACTGAGGTGAAATGACCCAGGATGTGAATGGGTGTTAAGGCATCTGGGAAGGATCTCAAAACTGCATTATAGATGGCAGAGAGTTGGTGTCGTAAACCCCCGCCTCTGTTCAAAGATCAAAAGCTCACAGTGGACATAGATGGCTTCTTTCACTCCTCTTTCAAACTATCTATGTTCTCTGTCCAAAATGTGGACATTGGCATCCTCTTAGGGACACTCCCAATAGGGCTTAAAAGTCTGTGACTGTCCACCAGTTGCTCTTAGAACTGAAGAAGTTAAAGAGGTGAAATGTCTTAAAGAAAAGTCCAGACACTTTTCTTTCCAAGTTCCTTAGACTACGATGACCTGGATGGCTGAGAACCTTCATGGACAAATCTGCCTTAAATTCTCTTACATCAATACATTACATTCGTATCAAAATGCCAATATACCATTTATCTCTTGTTATTTTCTTTAGGTACATCCACGTGCGTCGCATCTGGTGATCCACACTACACCAGCTTTGACAAACGCAAATATGACTTCATGGGCAACTGCAGCTATCTGATGTCTAGTCCATGCAATGACACAACTGTGCCCTACTTTGAGGTCCATACTGACAATGAAAACCGGTATAACAGGCCGACTATCTCCTATGTGAATGCAGTACATGTATACGCACAGATGATAAAGATCTCCATTCTCAAAGGTGGCACTGTGCAGGTAAGAAATAAGAGAAGGAAGGAAAACCAATCACGCTTTCACGTTATCAGGCACTACTGCATTACAAACAAACATCATTCTGTGGTACAAATCACTGCACATGCTCAGGAACACTTCTGAAAACCACTGCAATTGACCATGGAAGGAAACTTGCACTTACACTTACCACTTTGCACATGTTCAGGAGTTGAGTGATCACATTTGTTGATCACTCAACTGGCACTGGTTTCACTAGCTACCAGTGTCACAGCTGGCGGGGTGAGCCGTGTGGTGTAGGAGAAAAAGGACCCAAAATGCAGGCAGTGGACTGGTGATGAGAGTGATGTTTTATTTACAGAAGAGGAGCGACCGAACAGGCAGTGAGAAAAGACAAATGACTGAAAAAACCTAGACTGGGAAAACTAAATGACAAACCTAGGCATAAAATGTGGGCTGAGAATGCAGAGAGACGTAGTTACACCGAGAAACACAGACGATCCGACGATGAACAGAAGCCAACACACACTATAAATACACACTAGGTAATGAGGAGATGACATGCAGGGGTGGACACAGCTGACACTAATGGACATGATGAGAAGCAGACAAAGTAAAACCGGAAACACACAGACTGTTTTACAACAAAACGCAGGGACCTGAACGGAGCACAGAAGGGAGACACAGGTAGGGATAATAAACATGACAACCAACCCAAAGAATTAATACAGAATCAGAAGAAACACCAAACACAGGATGAAACCAAAACGAAACACAAAACGCTGGGTCAACAACCCAGGATCATGACAACCAGTGCCATCGGAATGACAATAGTTCAATAGTCTGATCTTGATCCTAACATTCAGGGACATCGAGTTCCAAATAGGTTAGAGATAGGTCCTTCTCTCACCCCAACCAGTCGCAGCAGATGGCCGCCCCTCCCTGAGCCTGGTTCTGCCGCAGGTTTCTTCCTGTTATAAGTCGCCTTTGTCGCCAAAGTGCTTGCTCATAGGGGGGTCATATGATTGTTGGGTTTGTTCTCTGTATGCATTATTATAGGGTCTACCTTCAAATATAAAGCACCTTGAGGTGAATGTTGTTGTGATTTGGCACTATATAAATAAAATTGAATTAAATTGAATAGATTTGGAAACATCGGAAGACTTCGGCCGCCTTCCCTACTCTGAAGTCGCATCCTTGTCTGATGCCAGTATTGATCTTGAAGAAATCCGTTGAGAAATCATCTCTCCAGACGCAGCGGCGGGAGTTGGAGTAGAGAACACAAAAGGCATCTACAAACTTGCTGGGGGACTTCATATTGACGTAAGATAGCCCTTAGAGTCAGCCGGTGCACGATGTCAAAAGCCGTCTCAAAGTCGATGAAATTAATAGAAATCTTCTTTTGGTATTACGATGTTTGTTCAATGATCATGCGGAGTGTGAAGAGTTGGTTGACTCAGGACTGGCCACTCCGAAAGCCAGTCTGCTCTTCTCCCAGTCGTTCGCCCACTGCACATCATAGCAAACTCAAAAGAATGAGGAAAAACACTTTCCCGGGTACCAACAGCAATGTGATGCCCTGCCAGTTGTTACAGTCGCCCAAATCACCTTCCTTCCGAAGTTTGATGATGACTGGGATCCACCGTAATTGAGCATTTCAGGGAGGATCTCATCCAGGCCAGCGGCCTTTCCACTCTTGAGGAATCGGATTGCTTTCTTGACTTCGGCATGTGTTTGACTCAACGTTGGTCTTGCTCAGCTAGGGTGAGCGGGACTCGTCCATTTTTCTCTTGGATTTGGACGCAGCAACCACTGCGAGCCCCAGTTAAATCTCGTACAATGCGACATAAGGTTCAGGTATCGTTCGGCTGCTTCTTGGGCTTCCATGCCTTTGGTTTCGATCCACTCTCACTTGTCACACCGGCAGCTGCATTTGACCTGTCCGACAAGGTATTAGTATGCGGTCGTGGCCCTCTTTTGCTGCTGTGCAGGAGCATGCGGGTCAGAGGCCAGCTGGTCCTGAACCAACTTCACCAAACAACTTTGAACGAGAAGGCTTTTGACAGAGTCCACCATTTTGGGACTGGCAACGGCGGAGCTGATGTAAAGAAAAAAAACATATAATAAGATCCAGAAAGGCTTCCATACCAAATCACCAAAACTAACTACACCCAAACCAAGAACTCCTGGGCCAACTACACCCAGACCCAAACAAACAATTCAAGGACCAGTTGTGATTTTGTTGCGTTAATGTAACACAGCTATAAATGTGCCCATGTGCCAATTGTTATTGAAATGGGTTAGAGTGGAATCAAGTTGAAAATAATAAATTTTTATGTGGTTCTTCTTTTTTTTTATGTCTTAATCTGTTGTTCAGACATCATTGGCATGATGAGGGACTGTTTCTTTTTAGTTACAGATAGTAATGTTGTGACATGGGTAATTCAAAAATGAAAATGTTGGCTAATAATTGACCAGATTTGATGTACTCTGCCTATTTTCCCATACAGGTTAATGGGACCAATGTCAATCTGCCACTGTCCCCGGCCCCTGGTATTTCTGTGTTCAAGTCAGGAAAACACTACACTGTCTCCATGAACTTTGGTGTGACGGTTCGATATGATGGAAA